TGGAAAACATGGTGCTCAGCTTTCTAATGTCTCCCTCCACCTAGGAGGCTGGAATGAAGGCCTGTGAGCCAGTCCTCACAAGAGATAACATGTGTGGACTGTCGCATTCCAGGCACTTTGCTAGGTACTTCATGCCAAGTTAACCTCACAGCCACGCAGCGAGGTATGTACTTACTTTGCAAATGAGGCAGCAGAACCTTAAGGAAGTTGTCTTGTCAGAGACCACAGAGTAAGTGGTGAGGATGGGAGGCGAACAGGTGCTGTCTTATTCTAGAGCCCTTGCTCTGAACCACCATATGATTCTACCCATCTCTGTGTCTTGCACACCTAACCCGGCATGTGGCCACACCTATTCAGTGAAGTTGGAGGAGTTCATTATCAGGGATTTAAACAGAAAATTAAACCTAGATACTGTGGCTTAAGGCTTCTTCACCTTCTGGCTCTGACTCCAGGTCAGGCAGGCAGGAGACCAGTGACGATGAGGGTAGCACAGAGGTGCCCCACGTGGTAGAGGGAGGCTGATCTGTGTGTGTAAGTCCAGCTGGGAACGGGGGCTGGAATATAGGGGGCAGGCTGTTGGATGGATTTGAGTGCTTCTAGGATCAAAGGTTGTTGAGATGGAAGGGCTTAATAAGAATGGCTGATGGAGTCACCCAAGATATTTTTTCTTTTAATGAAGAATGAAAGTATGGTCTTAGAGGAAAAACACTCTCCCATGAATTCAGGCACCCTGGTGCCTGTGATAATGACTTCCTGAGGCCCTGAGACGCTGGTAACCACAGACGCCTGTCCTCTGCTGAAGCAGTTGGCATATCACACACCCAGGTACACGACAACTGTGCAGACTTGTAAACACCTGCCACAGGAAGCGCTTCCCCGCTCTCTCTAGACACAGACTGCAGTCCATGTGGGGGCCTACAGGAAGGCTCTGTATTCTGGCAGGGATGCTGAGGTCTGAGAGGAGGGCCCCGGACCTAGACCTGTGGGGCTGCAGTCCCCATGCAGGAGTGAATACACACATAGAAACACAAACACACACACAGAGGGACATAGACATACACACCCAACATCACACACACAGAAACAGACGTGCACACCACAAATACACATACATATATACACATAGAGGTACACAGCACATACACAAGCCTACACACATATACCACACACCTCTCCACATGCAGAGGTTCACCATGTACACACACAAGCAACACAAACACACACACACACCATACCCATCACACAACCCTCCACACACCTCACCACACAAAAACATAGACATAACATACACCACACATATACATACACACACTGTGTTCACCAGACACAGACACAGATATACATACCACAAGTAGATACGCACAAATGCACCATATCACACACATGGACATACACCACGTGTGCACACTGTGACGCACATGTACACAGTACACACTCACATATAATGCACACAACCCAAATACACACAAACATATACAGTGAACCCATGTACCACATACGTATGGAATACACAGGCATGAGCTTCTCAAAAAGTGCCTCACGGTGGTTTAGCCACATTACAAAAGGTTTAAGGTAATAGTTATGTGGACTACGAATGTGGGAGGTATGTATACAAAACAGTATCAGAAATGAAAAAGGCAGCAAGAATGGTTGATAGACTAAGATGGAACCCAGTGATATGCGTTCCTAGGTCTAGAGACAGGAAGACAATGTAAGCAACACAAATAACTTATGTTTAGTAAACTTTGAATAGTTTACTGCGAATGGATTTAGTTGAACCATAAAATTTTTCCAGTGACTACTGTTTAGCCCGATATACTCACTATGTGGCCACTGATCTTTCCATGGGGTAGGGTCTCCTTGGCTTCTAGCCCACCTCCTCCCATTCTAAATGTACCTGTTGTTGGGGGAACAGCCACCCAGAGCCCCTGTAATGTCTGGTTGACGACAGAGCTGGCCACCCACTCCCTCTTTCCACTCACTCCCTCTTGTCCTTCCCAGCTCCCTCCCTTCACTGCCTTTCTTGACACAGCAAACAAATAGGGAAGTTCAGGGATTTGGCATTGACCTTAGTGAAGATACCAGCTTCCCACAGTCCCGATTCCCCCAGAGCTACAGTTTATCTCTGTGTGCCTAGGGGGCGCTCAGGTCCAGGAATTGAAAATATCAGAAGTTCCCTCAAGTATTTCTAAGACCTAGTAGGGAAGGGCTGCAAGTCAAAGTTAAGGGTCTGCTGATGAGAATGATGGCTGAGAGTCGTTGAGGAGGGGAAAGTGGGCTGGTTGTAAATATACCTCCGAGACCCATTGTTTCATTGAAGTTCAAATCTAAAAGGGATCATACATACCATCAGGTCTAATCCCTACATTTCTTAGAGGTACAATCCAAGGCCAGAAGGGTGAGTGATATGTTTATTAAGACTAATTAGAAGCAACTTTATAATAAGAGATGCTCCATCCTTTCTGATGGAGCAAATAGTTACCATTTTTATCTTCCTGTTCCCCTGTATTGTTTGATTATTCAGTGTGTGTGCCAAGATATTCTACATATGAGATATTATTAGAGAAACTAATCAATCAAATATACTTTAAGACTTTTCATTTTATTAGATAAATGTAGAAGAATATTATATAAAAGTCATAAATCAGTTTAATGCAAGCATATCCTGCTTTAATATAGTTCAAAATCCAAGAACTCAAAAGTGTGATTATTTCATCACAAGATATATCATTTAGTATTTAGAGAAAGGCATGTAACTCAAGAAAAATGATGATGAATTTATGTGTAGTTTTGGCTCAGGTCATCATTAATTATCATAATTCTCAGCTCTGTGTTTTTACTATGTTTAACTAAACAGTAAGAAATGGGGAATATATATGGATTCGCAATGGGAACCAGAAGTCTAATCCTACACTGGCCTCTACTCCCATGGTCTCATGTGAGTGAACCTTTGTGAGCTCCAGCTTCCCCTACAAAACAACAGGCTGGGACCAGGCAAGCTCTGTGGTTTCCAGTTAGGTTGCAAAGAAGAATGAGCATGTGGTCAGACATAAGAGTCAGACCACCTGGAGTTGGTTCATCTCCATCTTTAACTCTTTGAGCAAGTGACTTACCTTTTCCAGACTGAAGTTCCTTTTCAAGTATAAAATGTGTGCTATCCACCACGAAGGGCTATTAATTTTACAAAGAATTCATGGCATCTCTCTGCCTTAGGGTAACATCTTAGGGATGTGGTGGTGAAGGACATGGCCTTGTGCTTCCACAAAAGGCCTTTTGCTGTCAGTGTGGAAAAGGTGGAAGCCACCCGGATGGAGGAAGCCCTGAACCCAGACGCCTGCCACCACTGCAGCTTTTTGGAGTAGATTTTTGCCCCACTGTGGTTTAGCTTTGTTTTGCCTTCTCTTCATTGAGTTTTGCTTTTTATAGATGACTTTATTTTTTTGAGATTCATTTTTCACCTGACTCTTCCTTCTTTCATGCTATTATTTCCTGATTAGTTCATTTCCCCAAACTCGCCTCTCTTTCCTCTGGCTAATCCTCCAGGGCTCAGCTTTCCTCATGGAAATTTTTCTGAACCGTTGCCACCCTTCTGTTTGCTTTCATAGTACCCAGCTCTTCTCCTTCCTAACACTTACCACAATTACAGTTACGTAATTTATTTGTGTCATGTTAGTCTGTCTCCCTTACCTGGCAAAAGCAGTAAGAAGGCAGCTGTCTCTTCTTTTTTATTCACTGATCTGCCCCTAACACTATAGTGCTTACCACACAGTGCAGGGTTCTGTAATATGTGTTGAGAGACTGGGTAGATGAATGAATGAATGCTGTAATATGTGTTGAGTGACCGAGTAAATGAATGAATAAATGATCCCCACAGCCCGCTGTCATGACTAGCTCATTAGGAGTACTTCTATCTCTTTTCTCCTTCCATAATTAGTTTTATCTTCACTCTTTGCAAGATTTCTTCACAGCTTCTCCTACCCTTTTAAGAAAGGAATTTTATTTACAGCTGCCACAAAAAAATCCAACCAGAAGTCCTAACAGACCATAATTTTAGAGAAACTTCATCTTGCTTCCACTGAGGCTCACACATCCACACACTACACTGAGGACACATTCCCCATGTCCTCTAGTTGGTCATTTAAATCTACTTTGGGGATATCCATGTGATTATCAAGAGACGCAGAAGGGCTAAGGGATCTTACTGATGACAGAGCCCAGTTTAGATTCCACCTTGACAAATTTTCCAGCCCAACAATTTGCTGCTAAAGATTCTGGGTTCTCCACCTTGGGATTTTGTATCTGGGATTTTCTCCTCTCATCAGGCTCCCAGGTAATGAAGCAGGTGAACAGGCAGGAGCTCCATAAAAGGAAGATATGTAAGTCAAATCAGTGTTTTTCTTCTGATGACAAGAGAGCTAAGAGAACTTAGAGCTAAGAGAACACCTGGGTATTGGAAAGTGACTTTGAGGAAGGAGCAGAGCGGGAAGGCGGAACGGTGGGTTTCTCCTGAGAATGGCTCACACCACTCTTCCTACGTATGTGTGTACATTTCTCTCCTTGATGGAACAGCAACACACAGGAGTAGTTTCCCTCTCCTGGTGCAGTCTGCCTGAAGGTTGGGTCTCTGTGGAGGAAACATGTTCCACAACAATATTTTGGAGTGCTGCTGTGTTTGGGTCAGCCCTTAGGCTTCCTGACAATACAGCTTTGTTCTTGTTTCCTCCCCAATACCTGATCCAGCAGAGAGTGACCCATTCTCAACCTCCCAGAGGTAAATTGTCATTATGACGGGAACAATAGGCCAGGCTGTGCTGTGGAGGGTATATATTCAAGGATGCCATGTTTAATTTCCCTACTTCCTTGAATAGTCTTTAAGATGAATAGCTTTTCTTTTTCTTTCTTTTTTTTTTTTTGTTTGTCTCTTTATTGGTTTCTTTCTTTAAATAGCTTACAGGGTCCCCCACTGCAGCTGAAATAGTGCCTGTTTCAGGGTTTCAGACCTGCCTGGATGTCTGTCACAGACTGGTGGGCAAAAGTCAGTTTGGAAGGGATTTCTGAGGCAGGAGTGGGAATGGTTATCTCAGACATCTCGCCCTTGGCCCCAGGGAAAGAGAAGCTACAAGCTGAAGCTACAACAGGCAGTTTTCAAAGCTGGAAGAGATGTACAAATCAGGATTCTGATGCTGTTGTAACTGAGGGTGGGAAGGAAGAGCTTTCTGTTTGCTCTTGTGCTGAAGCTGCGGCGTTTCAGACACGGTGAGGACTGAAGTCTTATGAGACTAACAGCTCCTTGGTGCGGTGTTTCAGACACGGTGAGGACTGAAATCTTATGAGACTAACAGCTCCTTGGTCTACACAGCTATGGGGGCAGGAGGACGGTGACAGCACCTCCACAGACGTCAGCACTGTCGTGGAAAGCATTGGCACTGTGGTGTGGAGGGGTCCTCAAGTGGCTTCTCAGGCCTTGAAGCCCTGATGAGTCCGTGGGAGAGGAGGAAGCACATGGCAGCTAGGGTGTGGGAGCACGTACTCATGTGCAGAGGATCCCTGGGGAGTCCCAGAAACAAAACTAAGGGAAGAGGGAGTGGAGGGAGGAGCCAGTGAAATGCAATCACTATTGTGAATGTAATGCTGTTTATTTTTTTGTTTCAGTTTTTGTTTTTTTAATTATAGGTGATTTACAATATTAGTTTCAGGTGTACAATGTGTTGATTCAATGTTTATATAGATCATATTCCATTTAAAGTTATTATAAAATATCAACTATATTTCATTTGTACAGTACATCTTTATATCTTGTTTATTTTATACATAGTAGTTTGTACCTTTTAATCCCCTGCCCTTAAATTGCTTCTTCCCACTTCCCTCTCCCCACTGGTAACCACTAGTTCGTTCTCTATAACTGAGTCTGTTTCTATTTTGTCATATTAATTTGTTTTATTTTTTTAGATTCCACATGTAAGTGATAACAGAGTACTTGTTTTTTCTGTCTGACTTATTTCACCAAGCATAGTACCCTCCAAGTTCATCTATGTTGTTGCAAATGGCAAAATTTCATTCTTTGTATGGTTGAGTGGTATTCTACTGTATGTGTGTGTGGAGATCCAACCAGTCCATCCTAAAGGAGATCAGTCCTGGGTGTTCATTGGAAGGACTGATGCTGAAGCTGAAACTCTAATACTTTGGCTACTTTATTCAAAGAGTTGACTCATTGGAAAAGACCCTGATGCTGGGAGGGATTGGGGGCAGGAGGAGAAGGGGACGACAGAGGGTGAGATGACTGGATGGCATCACCGACTCGATGGACATGAGTCTGAGTGATCTCCGGAAGTTGGTGATAGACAGGGAGGCCTGGCATGCTGCAATTCATGGGGTTGCAAAGAGTCGGACATGACTGAGCGACTGAACTGAACTGAACCACATCTTTCTTATCCATTCATCTGTTGATGGACACTTAGGTTGGTTCCATATTTTGTGTGTGTTAGTTGCTCAGTCGTGTCCGACTCTTTGCAACCCCATGGACTGTAGCCTGCCAGACGTTTCTGTCCATGGGATTCTCTAGGCAAGAATACTGGAGTGAATTGCCATTCCCTTCTCCAGAGGATCTTCCCAACTCAGGGATTGAACCCTGGTCTCCTGCACTGCAGGCAGATTCTTTACTATTTGAGCTACATGGAAGTGCATATCTTGGCTATTATAAATAATGCTGCTATGAACATTGGGGTGCATGTATCTTTTCAAATTAGTGTTTTCCATTTTCTTTGGCTATATACCCAGGAATGGAATTGGTAGATCATATGGTAGTTCTGTTTTTAGATTTTTAAGGAACCTCCATTAGTGTTTTCCAATAGTGGCTGTACCAGTTTACATTCCTACCAATAGTGCACAAGGGTTTCCTTTTCTTCACATCCTCAACAACATTTGTTCTTTGTGATCTTTTTGACAGTAGTCATTCTGCTAGGTGTGAAGTTATATTTCATTGTGGGTTTGATTTGTGTTTCCCTGATGGTTAGTGATGTTGAGCGTCTTTTAATGTGCCTGTTGGCCATCTGTATGTCTTTTCTGATGGCCCTGTTTGGACTCACAGTTGGGTATAGCATGAAGAAAACACAGTCAGGTTACAATAGCATTATAAATGTCAGTACTAGGAAGGATCTTAGAGATTATCTAGCCAGATCTTCATGATGTCACAAATGGCAAGATTTCATTTTTATGGCTGAGTAGTATTCCAATTGTATATATACACGGAAGACCTTGAGGGTATTGCGCTAAGTAAAATAAGTCAGATGAAACAAATAAACGGTATGGTTTTACTTGTATGTGGAATATAGAAAACAGAAAGACATTAAATGAACAAACCAAGCAAAAATAAACATGTAGTTACTGAGAACAGAGAGCGCATGCCTGTGCACAAAGTGGCTTCAGTCATGTCCAATTCTGTGCAGCTCTATGGCCATACCACATGGTAGTTCCTTAACAAGGGATCGAACCTGCAACCCTTGCATTGAAAGCTTGGAGTCTTAACCACTGAAACACCAGGGAAGTGCCCTGGTTGTTATATTTTGCTATAGTTTTACAGGATATCACTATGGTGAAAGCTGGGGGAAGGGTACAGGGGATTTCCTGTATCATTCCTTACAACTGCATGTAAATCTATAATTATCTCAAAATAAAAAGTGTAATTTACACAAAAAGTCCTCATGACACAGGTTATGAAAACGAGCCCCAGAAAGTTGAGAGATTTGCCCTTGTTTCACAGCCAGTTAACAGCATAGCCAGGGTTGAACCTAGTTCTTCCAAGTCCCAGCCTTTGACACTCTATGGACTCCTGACAATCCAGAAATGCATGTAGGGCATTGAGGGCTTCTGCTGTGTCTATGGGAAGGAAGTGTGATCTTGGTGCTCATGACTTTGAGGAAAGTCCAGGATGCCTGAAGTCAAATGGACGCTGTGGTGGGGGATTCTGTGTAGGAGGACCCTGAGAGATGGAGTTCTGCTAGTCCTAACCACAAAAAGGCGCTGCCCCAACTGTGGCTTCCTAAGGTCAGAAAGGAACAGGTGTAGCCTCATAAAAACAGAACATTCCCTGGATCTCAGGATGTTCAGTCCATTTACCTAACTATACCCACATCCTCACAGACAGAAGCTTTTCCTATTCAACAGTAGGTCAACCAACAGGGTCTAGATTCACCTCCTAGGGCGATAAGACAATTTTTTTTTTTTTTTTTGCATCAGTGAGGGTTTTTTTTTTTTTTAATCCAAATTCTCTCTTATACTGTTTCAGGTCATTTACTCTTGATTTGTCCTGAGCAGATCTGAAGCAGTGTTATTGTTGTTTGGTACTTATTCATGAAATCTGGCCAGGGCTTCCCAGGTGCCTCAGTGGTAAAGAATCCACCTGCCAGTACAGGAGATGCAAGTTCGATCCTTGGGTGGAGAAGATACCCTGGAGCAGAAAGTGGCACCCTACTCCAGGATTCTTGCCTGAAAAATCCCATGGACAGAGGAGCCTGGCAGACTACATACAGTCCATGGGGCTGCAAAGAATCAGACACGACTGAGCACAGCACAGCGTGAAATCTGGCCACTCTTCAGTCTCCTATGGTGAAATAGCCCAACTCCTTTATCCCCTGGCCCTTAGGAATCTGGGCCAAGTTAGTTTCTTGTTATGGAATGTTCCAGAAGCTATGGAGAAGACCCAACTTTCCATACCTCACAGCATTCATTTTTAGTGATTCACCTTTATTATAGTATTAATAGATCCCTGCTAAATTTAGTGCACCCTGGGACACTCAGGATATGTGTTTTGACTTAGCAAAGATTCATGTCACTCTGCTAGGTAATTTAAAACTTAATTTTAAAAATGCATGCACAGGACTTTCCCAGTGATACAGTGGATAGGAATCCTCCAGTCAGTGCAGGGGACATGAATTCGATCCCTGGTCCGGGAAGATCCCATATGCCTCAGAGCAACTGAGCCCGAATGCGGCAACTATTGAAGTATGTGTGCCTCAAGCCTGTGCTCCACAACAGGAGAAGCCCCTGCAATGAGAAGCCTAGGCACCGCAAGGAAGAGTAGCCCCCTCTCACCACAACTAGAGGAAAACCTGAATATAGCAACTAAGTTACATATCTTTAACTTAAAAATACACGCATATTTAAAAATACACACAGAATAAAAGTACAGCTCTTTCCCGTGAATGGCGAAATTTCAATGTAGAATAAACCAATGGCCAACTGAGCCCTTTTTAAGTCACGCAGACACCCCATCTCTGCAGCTCACAGCATTCTTGTTAATGGGCCCTGATAAGTCTCAGATACCGTTTACTTCTCTTTCTTTCCCTCTCACTCCCTGACCTCATCGGGGTGCCCTTTATTCCCCCTCCTCTCTTGGTTTGCCTTCACAAGTGCCTGTGCCGTAATTGAATGAGATCTTGTTTTTGACTTATTTCTTGTGACTTCGTCACGGCCTCTTGCAAAGGCTGCATCTGCAAAGCCAGAGCAGTCAGCTGAGAGAGGCCATATTGACCGTGTGGGAGACAGACTCTTTGGAGCCATCATTTCATTGTGCATTGAGTCTGGGGTGCTTAGGGGGAGCTCTATTCCCACCCGTTGCAGCCCACAACACCCTGGGATCCACTCATACACAAAGCGTTCTCTTGGGCCTATTTACATTCTTAGACTCCTGCCTAATCTCCCTAGAAAAACGGGTCAATCTGAAGAATGTCTCTTCTTCCCCGCAAAACTCTTATGAGACAGTTTGCTCTAAGAGAAGTGCTAGATACTAATGGCTAAAACACACAGGTTGAGATGAAGCCAGAAAGATGGAACTCAATAGATTTTGAGGAAGGCTGCAGAGATTTAAAAAAAAAAATCTCTGATGAAGACATCACTGCAGGATTGAGTATCGTGTTGCGATGAAGGCAGATGGGGTGTTATCTCCTCTGTAGTCCCACGGCAAGTTGTAAGAGTTCTCCTAAGCACCCCGTTGTCTTTCTGAAGAGAGGGATTGTTAGCAACAGGGCAGACTTTTGTCACTGATCAACTTCCACAAGCTTGGGATGACCCAGTGGACATGCCCCGACGGC